AAGGCAGATATGATTGTGTGATGTATGTCGAGAGAGATGTATGTCTGTCTCTGTCTGTCTGTCTCTGTCCGTCTGTCTGTCTGTCTGTCTGTCTGTCTGGCTGTCTGTCTGTCTGTCTGTCTGTCTGCCTGCCAAGCTGCCTGTCTGCCTGCATGACTGCATGCATGCATGCATGCATGCATGCATGCATGCATGCATGCATGGATGGATGTATGTATGTATGCACGTGTGCATGTGGCTATATAATATAGATATGCAAGTAAGTAAGCAAGTAAGTAAGCAAGCAAGTAAGTAAGTAAGTAAGTAAGTAAGTAAGTAAGTAAGTAAGTAAGTAAGTAAGTAAGTAAGTAAGTAAGTAAGTATGCATGCATGTATGTATGTATGTATGTCTGTATGTCTGTATGTTGCTTGTATTCTATGTTGTACACCAAAGGATGGTGCCAGGCATCTAGACGAAAACAACTCAGTCCTCAAGCGATCTGCATGGCGCTTCCCCATGCTGGGCAGGGCTGACGGGACCTATGCTGCACGCCAGTGCTGCCTAGCCCATGGGGGCCGGAAAACGTCCTTCTTGAGCCCCTTTTTTGAGGAATCCTCGTGTAGTACCCATAGAGCACCCTTAAAGCCCTCTTATAAGACCTTTCTTAGTACCCCTTTTTGAGGGCTCCTTTAAGGCTTCCTTTCTAAAGGGCCTCATGGAATGTACTTGCCCAGGAAGCTCAAGAGGACTTTGCTGCCCTCCGCCGACTGATAGAAGTTGTAGCCCTCGCTCCGATTTCGACCTTGTGTCTTGAAGGGGGGGTCTTGATGGGGTCCCAGGAAATGGAGCTCATTGCGCTTGCGGGAAGCTTCATCCAAGTCCTTTCCAAACTCTGCGAAGATCTCCGGTGCACCGCGCTCGTGATAGTCCTGCAGATCATGAAGCGTGTCGCAGTAGAGCACAGGCACCTTGACATCTTTTGCATACGTCTTCGCAGACATTCTTTCGAGTGTGATGCTGATGTCTTTGGCCTGGATCTTGCCCTCCTTCTCGTACTTTGCCTGGTTCTCCTGCAAAGCCTCGTTGAGTAGCTCCTCGTTCCCCAGTCCGAAGAAGAAGGGCCGGTCGGCGAACATGATGGGCGCGTGGAAGATGTTCGTCGTCGCCCAAGCTGCGACGTTCTTGAACTTCTCTGGGCACACGGAATTGGCTTTGAGGAAAGCTACGCCCGACACGCAGAAGGGCAATAAAGCTACCTTGCAGTCCTTCAGCGTCGGGTGGGCATTTACCCAATCCATGACGCCCGCTGCATCCATGAACTCGATCTCACCCCATCCCGCTGGCAGCCTCCGCTCGGAGTCTCCATGGTTTCTTAGGTCGTAGGCGATGACATGATAGCCGGCATCGTAGAGGACCCGATGGAGCTTCACGTAGTCGATCGCCTCGACGGGCACCATGCCGTGGCGGTAGTGGAAGACGCAGCCGGACTTGTTCGCTTTGGCCCAACTCTGATGGCCGACGATCGCCAACTTCTTCGAGACGGAGCCCTCCTTGCTGGGGATGTACCACGCAGCAATCTGGCATCCGTCCAGCGCCTTCAGGCGCACTTCTTCGTAAAGCATGCCGTGGTCCTTGGGCGTCCTTACCATCTTCGTGGCCAGCTCTCCGTCCCACGTCGCGTCCATGATGACGGTGGTGGCCAAGAACCTGCGGCCGGAGTCTCATCATGGGCGCCCCGGTCTTACTTTAAAGGATCCCTTAAAGGGATCCTCCAGAACCTATCGGTCTCAGGGACTTACGGGGGAAGAGCCCCAAGCTCCATTTTAAAAAAGAATCTGATCCCAGAAAGCCTAGAACGCCTAAACACATATAAACCCATCCTTGGAGGTTCATGGGTAGCTATACCTG